AGAAAAGAAAATATTAAATAATTTTAATTGATGTGGCTGTCAACCTCAGCTGCCACATAAGATAGTATGTGGTATACAAATGTGGTAAGAGTAGCATTATTCTTTCCGAGTAGATGAGAAATGGAAGATTCATTTTCCATGTTTGGTAATATCTGGAAAGTAATCGAGAGATTTCATTTTGTTTCATTTCCTATGTTTGTTTTGAGTAGGAATGGAAAACAAATTTTGTATAATTTTATAATTATACCCATATTAGAAAAATAAATACTAAAATAAATCATAAAAGAAAAGAAAATATTAAATAATTTTAATTGATGTGGATGTCCACTTCAGCTGCCACATAAGATGGTATAAAAATGTGGTATACAAATGTGATAAGAGTATCATTATTCATATTTTTAATTAAAATTTAACTGAAACTACTAATAGATGGTTTTCAAACCCAAAAACTACTATTGATCATGTAAATTAGTTGCAGGAATGTGTTTAATCGGCAGAGACAGCAAAACAACAATTGATATGCAACAAAAGAAAATTAAGAGGACACCAAACCCTATGATTTCCAATGAAAATCGTAAAACCAAAACTTATGAGATTGATAACAGCACCAATCTATGGCATTCACAAATAAGAGGGGAGGGGACAAAAGAAAAACTGTTCTACACACAAGCAAACATCTAGAGTACAAGGTGGTCACAAGTTCTTTCGGACCATTCAATAATACATAAACAAAACTTTTCTTGTAAACTTCCTTTTTTGAGTACATACAGACAACCATCACAAGCAGCTTAAGCTTCTTCACTTCCGGCCAGCGCCGGCGGATCCTCGACTGCCCCGAAACAAGTCATTAATCTTAGCCTCGATGTCCTCATTAGCATACTTAATGTACTTGTCATGCCTCCCGATTTCTGGCACATTCTGAAACCTTCCGATAAAGTTCTGATACGCCGGCAACAAGATCTTCGCTAGGGCAATTCTCAATTCGTCCCTGAGCTGATCGTCGAAAACGACCCAATTGCATTGAGTTTTACAGATCTCATCGAAGTATATGTTGAACAATTTGAGCTTCTCTTTCATGGACTTGACAGCAACATTAGGTGCCAATGAGCCACTCTCAAGCTTCAACACTCCCAACACCTTATTCCATGAGCTTCTCTGGTAATTCACATGGTACTGCCGGACTTTCGCAGTGTGTTTTCGGATCCAATCGTCGCCCAAAAGCGATCCTAATTCGCTGTCTCTCACTTTCTGTACAATGTACCTCGAGTTGTTCATCATGAAAACATAGCACAAAGCAGAGTCCCTGTAAATCTTCGACTTGGCCTCTAAATTGCTCTCCAAAAGCTCCATAATCCACGCCATTTGGACCGACATCGAAGAAGACGAGGCTCGATCATCGACCTTGGGCTGATGAGGGACCGCAGTGCTGTCCTCGAAAACTTGCTCGAGCGTCTGGCGCGATCGGCAAGCTGCTCGGAGATAATTCATCACGTATCGAGTGATAGGATGAAGTCCGCCACCAGGAACTGGGGTTTTGGCGGGATCGCGACTGATCAGATTCTCTAACTCCATGAAAATGCCTCTGATAGCTTCGCCTAACCTTTTCCAAATCGTCATCGCTTCGTTCCTGAGAAACAAACAGTACTGATCCGAAAACACGGACTCGAACTCAGGCATCAAATCCCGCAAGCTCTCGAACACGTCTAGAATCTTGAACAATCGCTCCGGCGACCGGCTTCCGATGGCGACGGCGTCGGCGAAGTTGAGTATCTGAATCGTCGAGCCTCGACAAACCTCCATGAACGAGAGGTCAGCAGCAGAGGAGAGGCCGTAGAAGACGCGATCGCAGAGTCTACGTTCGCTCGGGAACAGAATCCGAAGCGCTACGTTGGCGGATTTGATCCATCGCTCGATTTCGTCTTCGAGGTCTTGCCATGGAGTCTTCTGAACCTCTTCGATGCTCAGCTTGTGCAACCCTAGCCTCGATAAGCTCTCCTGCGAGCCCTCTTTCCCGAACCCCGCGGTCACCATGCGCTTCGCAATCTCGTGGAGGTCGTTGATGGTTCCTGAAGGAAGCGCATCGATCACGATGTCGTAGTCCCCAATCGGCTGCGCCGTAGGGATCTGGTGGTCCTCGCCGTTTCCGATCATCTCCTCTTCCTCTTCGTCGTCCCCCGAGTCAAACGACAAGTTGCCGTTCGACTCGCCGCGGTACGCTCGACTGAGTTCGAGTGACTCGCCGCCGCGTTCGACCAGGGACCTGAACTCGTCCTCGAGGCGGAACATGGCCTGCTGCATGAGGTCCTCGGCGCGCGCGAGGCAAACGCCGACGGACTTGTCGACGGCCAGCGGCGTCCAGTCCCTGATGGTGGCGATGAGCTCGTCGATTGAGTCCAGGAAGGCCGAGGAATCGGCCGAGTCGGACCAAATCGGATGGTCGGCGGCGACGTACTGGGAGATCTGACGGTCCAGGGACTTGAGCGTCAGTTCGAGAGCGGCGCAGCTCCGAGGGCGGTCCTCGTCGTCGGAAGCCAATTTCTCGCGAGAGAACCGGCCGTCGAAGTTGGAGAAAATCTGCAAAATATCGTCCGCCATGTTGTCGTTGTGGCCCAGCGTCTTGGCTATGTGTCTGGCCACGGCTAGCAATTTCTCCTCGCCGTTCTCAGCCATTTTTGGATGTTGGAACAAAATCGGTCTTCTTGTGTATAGAGTTAGTGTTAGAGAGTCCTGTAGGTGTTTGATTTTAGGTCAGTGTAGGGAGATTTTAGGATTACGAAATTGAGAGCAAAAATAGGATGATGGTTTTGATTTTCAAAGATTTCACAATTTCATTTTGTTGGAATTAATAACCAAAAAGCCAAAAGCCGTGAAATGGGGGGGTGCCGAAGTTGAAATTGAACAGTATTATTTAGAGGTTCGTGGAAGGTGATTGGAAAACACGCGGTTTGGTGGTGGGGGAAAGAAGAAGAAGAGGGAAAAGATATTTGTGGGCAATTTTTGCTTGGTGGATTCTCTTGGGCCCCTTTGGATTGGACTTTTGAATTTCTTGGAGTTTTTTAATTTTCTGGACTGCTTTTTTCTAAATTTGAGTAAATGGAATGGATAAGAAAGAGTGAGACGTGGGGATGTATGTAAATGTAAATTCAGTCGGTTAAAGTAGTGTGTCCGTTTTCGATTTCAAACACTCTTTTTTCGGGTTCAATTACTTTTTTTTCGTATATTAGAATAATTTTAAATTTTACTCTTGTGGTTATAAAAAATATATATATATATATGTGGCGGAATTTTAAAGGGGAGAAGGTTGAACGGGTTTGGAGCTCTAGACTTTGTGGATTAGGACAGGTGAAGTAAAGTAAAAGTAAAGGGTTTTTGGTTGTTTTGGCTTTGGTCTAAAGTATTTTATTTTATGGATGACTGGAATTCAAAAGACGTGGAGACCGCTACTTGAAAAATCTGGAGGGCATGGTGTTGCTTTTACCGTGAGCTCTGCTTTAGCATGCATTTGGCATCTTATTGGGCTTACTTAGAAATAAAATAAAATGCCACGTGGTGGTGGGTAGAGCGTCTCAGCTACGAATTCAGTGGACTGTCTCAGGTTACGCGTTTAGCATTTAGTTTTAGACCAGTTTTGGAAGTGCACGCTTAAAGAAAACCAATAAAAATCACTGTATATTTGTTAATTAATGCAGAGAGGTTGGTTCTTCGTTGGGGGTTGAGGTTTTTATTCACTGTGCACTTATGTTACGGCTGCATCGTCTTCTTTTCCCAATCAATGTCATTAGTAACTGCTCGTGTCGTGCACTCGCTCGTCGTTGCATGTGTATCTCGTATTATATTAATTATAAAAAATGTCTCACAACCAGAGATTGAACTTAGAGATATCTTTCCCAAAAAACCCCAATTAGAAGATATGGAGAATATCAATACTACCATTAACAAGATATTTCATTATCATTACCAATACTTTGGGTCTTTTAAGATTCATTTTGTGTAAATTCGGTTTAATTGGATTTATAACACTGATTCGGGTTGTGTTGCGTCATTCTTGTTTTTCTTTCTTTTTGGAGTTAATGTGGGTGGAAATTTAGCATTTTTTGCTATGGAAGTGTTTGTCTCTTTTTTCCTTCCTCTTTATAGAGATAATAAAGTTCCGGAAACTAAAGATTTCTCTATCCAGCTCTAGCATAATAACAAGTTAAAACGAAAGCTAAAGATTTCTCTACTTAGCTATTTTTTAAAGAACAAGTTACAATATTGAAGAAATTGGAGATTTCTCTTATCTAATTTGTGCAAGTCTCAGATGTTTAGAAGGAAACTAGACTGACTATTTAAACAAGAATCATACCATAAAGATGGTGCAGCAATAAAAGATAAACGCATGAGTTGTCAACTGGTTATCTGGGCAGCAAGTTGGCTATTTGAAAATCTTGAAGTTTATTCAAGTGTTTACAAGACGTTGCATCTGATTTGGGAGAGAGAGTCCTTGAGTGTTGCTGTAGAGCCTCTATATTTATAGACAGAAAATCTTTAACGATGACAGTGAAGGCTGGATGATAACACTTGAGTGTTGTCCAAAGTCAGATGTCGATTTGTCATCGTGAGTCAATCCACATGTAGGAGAAATCTCCGATGAAAATACTATATCCCTATGATTGGTCATCTTTTCGCAGCTAGAAAACTAGTCGGAATACGGTTCCTCTTGGTTTTGACGTAAGTTATCTAGCTTGCTTTTTGGTTGAGAGAGATGACGGTCAAGTCATTCTTAATGGTGAGAACCCATCTTCCGACCGTCACGTGAGTCAATTGGTAATCTAACTCCAGTGTGGATTAAGATTGGGGTCTTTTCACAATATGGGCTTTTGAGTGAATTTCACCAATTACTAGCCTAAATCCAAAAGGACCCTTTTCGTTGGCTTAAAAAAAAAAAAAAAAAATTGAGCTTGGGTCTAATGTAATCTTATTTAAAAAAACAAACAAACTTTAGTCCATTTTTCAAATATGGTATAAACATGAAGTCTCCTGATTATCTGGAAAATATCGACACTATCAGATAAATCTGAGAGATATCAAGTAAATCTCGGAGATAGAGGGCAAGAAATTGTTTCATCCCTATTTTTTCAAGACAATGGGTTATCTTGAAAAAGAGACATACATGATGTATTGGGGACGAGGCACTATTTATGGCCAAGGCCTAATCTGTCCACGTGATATAATAATAAGAAAATAAAAAAATAAAAAGATCGCCCATCCTACCTGATTGGCCAAGCAACGCAAGCAAACCGAATGCTTCGCAACACACAAAACTCCACAATATAATAATCACCGTCCATTCCTTTATCCACGGCTACAGATTCTCCAACCCCAAAATAATCCTATATAACCTCTCTTTTTCGTTTTTACCATTCGACCCAAAAAAAAAATCTGCAACTTCCTCAAATCTCTGAAAAAGTCTCGTCAGTCTTCTTCAGTCTTCTTCCAATCGTGCACCCAAATTTCTCTCGTATTTACACCAATGTCCTCGCCTCCCCCGATCCCAATCTCATCCCAACAATCCTCCCACAACCACAAATCCTCCATCACCATCCCGATCCCATCCCTCCGCCCCATCCTCACGCGCCTCTCCGGCCTCTCCCGCCACGCGCTCTCCAACAGCCGCCCCTGGACCGAGCTCATCGACCGTACCGCCTTCTCCAGACCGGGCTCGCTCTCCGAGGCCGCCTCGCGGGTGCGCAAGAACGTCGCCTACTTCCGCGTCAACTACCTAATCGTACTCGCGGTCGTACTCGCCTACTCCCTCATCTCCCACCCCTTCTCTCTCCTCACCCTAGTAACCCTCTCAGGCGCATGGATCTTCCTCTACGTGCTTCGACCGTCCGATCAGCCTTTAGTGATCTTCGGCCGCACGTTCTCGGACACCCAGGCCCTGTTCGGGTTGGGCCTCGCGACGCTGTTCGCTATCTTGGTTACGAGCGTATTGTCGCTGATTCTGACGGCGGTGATGGTGGGGGTAGTGATCGTGTGCGCTCACGGTGCATTTAGAGATCCCGAGGATCTGTTCCTCGACGATCAGCAGCCGTTGGCTTCCGGGTTCACTTCAATATTCGGCGGTGGGGACCCCTCGTTTGGTTCTGCGAGTGCCAGTGTGATGTCACGTGTCTAGGTTGTGATGGTTGATGGTCGGGACTCGGAAGACGTACATACTGCTTAGCTACACAGTATCACACTCCCGTGGGTCGGGTCATAGGTGCTTAGATCTGGTTATAATAGGGATAGGACTATTCATTACTTAAAGACAATTTGTTTTGTTCTCTCAAGTTTGCATTTTTCTTTGTTTCGTTGATGGCAATTTTTATTGTATCTGATTTTATTAATTCTAATACCATAGCCTTTTTTTCTTTTAACATACATTAAGGTATTTTCTTCTTATGTATATAGATAATAAAGTTGCTTATTTATGAAGAGTGCTTTTAAATGAACTCTAAAATTAACTGACCCTGATATTTTAATTAAAATGTAAAATTAACTAAGTACATCTTATTTAATTATCAAAAAATATCCCTTGAACAACCTAATACACTTTTTCACACAACACTCTAGTGCCAATCATAAAATAGGTTTCACTTTTAACATGAATTCGAGCCATCTTTTCAGATTTTGGGTTCGCATTAAAATCTTTAATTTCATAAGTTATTGTGGAAGTAGATTTGCTAGCTTATTCAATTCAAAAGCTTGATTTTTGTAAATCATTGTGATTTTCTTCGAAATATGTGGAAGAGACACACATCTCTATTAAATTACTAGTGAAATGCATCATCACCAGTCCGAAATCCGTGATAATTTTGGATGCTTCCAAGTTAGAAGAAAAGTTTAAACCATGAGATTTTAAAGTCATCTACTTCAATTTTATTGTATGGATGATGTTGAGCTAAGAAGTCAGACTGGAACAAACTTTTTCATTCAAATATTTCTGCCCATATTTTGCATTAGGAAGAATCGAGTACATGGAGAAACGTCGACACTTGTCTTTCGCAATATTTGTAAGGAAGCTCTAAGTCTTTGAAACATTAAAGACCCTTAAAATTATCCGAAAACTTCTTTACATTTAATTAGGATTGAATATGATGAGTAAAATGTACTTATTAAAATTATATTTGTTTCACAATTCTATATACCTTTTTTGGTCATTTTATATTAGGGTAAATTAGTAATTCAATAAATACTTTAGCAAATAGAGTGTACTCAATTAATTTTAGGGTTCGTTTAGCAGCACTCTTTGTGAATCTAGACACAAATTTCTACATGTTACTATAATCCCCAATCTCACATCACAACATCAACTTACAACATATACAATGAATAATGGGAAATACACACAGATACTACTATTATTGGTGTAGCAAAGTCATCGAATAACACCACTACTATAACAAATAGCGTCATTACATCGATATGATCTCGATATCGTCAGTATTGTCCCATTATCTCAATAACAATCAGTTCTATATGGTATTATTATGACCTAGACAAAGTATCAATTTGCTACAATAAAAGTGTTATTTAAGAAATTTGTTCAGTGAGAGTACTATTTGAAAGCATTTCCCATGAATGAGTATGTCAATAAATTTTCTTTCAAATAAACCACAGCCATAAGTACGTCAAACAGATAAAGCGAGTCATCATGTTCACTTTTAAACAAGCATTTGAATAACCAAGCTTAATTACACGACGAAGAACTCTATCGGTGAACAGAAGGATGTAAAGCACATCTCCCATTTGAATGCATTGGGGCTTTCGGGGAAATAAGCAACCAAAATTCAGCAAACAATTGAAGCCAAACAGTTCAGAGCAGAGCACCAAGCAAAGCATGCCATCCGACAATCTCCCACCCAACACCAACAAACTCAGATGCAGAAACTCATGGATTAAAATGCTCCAGATATCAAACACGTAGCAAGCAATTTACACTTTCAATTCTAAAATCGTGTGATCTATATCTAACAGATACAACTTTGGGAAAGTTAAATTTATAAACTACCAAGTGCTCCATTTTTCTCTTTTCGTTTATTCTTATGCATGTAATGCAATTTCCTTTGAAGTGGGTATCAATTGGGTTGAAGGAAAAATAAATAAAAGGCGAAAATTTCATTTACAGCAACACACGGTTCAAGTGCTCTCTCTAGAATACGAACTGGTCTCTTCGGCAACCTTTGACCACACATTTGAAATTTTTTCAGCATATCCCACCTGTTTCATTATACAACAGAACACTATGCGTTACATGGGAGTGAAAACAACAATAAAGGATCTAAATGGAAATAGTAAATATTCAAAGAATGACTTGCATATGACAAGCCACTGTAATACACACGTTAGAGGTCACGGATACATGTTGAAGCCAGGGATAATTACATTTAACTTGTCTTTGGCTCAAAATAAGAAATATAGCATGCACCCTATGTCCTAAATAAGGCAAGGGGGAAATCAAAGCAGATAACAGAGTAAGTGCAAAGAAAACACGTACTGTCAACTCAGTCTCAGTAAGGAATTGTTGCAAATATTAAGATTTAACAAGAAAAAGAAAAGGCAAACACCAACCAAAGATGTAAAATCATAATTGAAGTGGGAGGAAAGTTGGTTATTCCTGCTATTGATCCATTAATTCTGTTAACCACCCTTGCCTTTTAAGGGGGGTACTGATTAATCAACAGTTATTACTGAACAGAATGTAATGGTGCCAAAATAATTTATATTTAGCTGTCAGTCCCAACTACAAATCAACTCTTGGCTAAGCTACCCACTAGATATACCAGTCTCTCTTCCACTTGCATGCAGTCATTTACTCAAAGCATCCCTTTTGGCAGATTAACTCATAATTGACTAAAGGACTAAAGCATCTCAACAATCATATGCTTTGGCTAAATCACTACAGCATTTCTTTCACTTCCATAACTACGGCTTACATTTTTATCTAGAAAGGCCTGCCAGATTATTCATCTCATATAACACAGATGAACTCATGGGAGACCAAAATTCGTTTACATGCAGATTCTTGAAAGGTAAAAGACAAATTTTCTACATAGCTATGTAAACAGGAACGCAATCGGTAAGTACCTGATTAAGCACAAATCCCTTCAACATGTTCAAGAAGTCAGCATGCCTCTCGTGGTCAAGCCTTTCAAGTTCACTCTTGTTATTTTCCTGCATTTCATCATAATCATTTCTAAGTTTTGGGTAGGATAATATTGAGACAATTGAACGGGGAGCCACAGCAACTGTGCAAATAGAAAATAAATATATACAATCAGAAAATTTCTAATATCAAGATCAAGTAAATGTCAAATATACAAATAGATCCATATTGCATCTGCCGAAAAGGCATCCCAATTCACCAGAACAGAAAGAATTTTTAAAAAGTAAAAATTTAGATAGCCTTAATCGCAAGGGGAGAAAATAAAGCAGTTATAAGAGACCAAAAAGATGCAATAATTTGTCATCAGAAACTGAACAGACACACCAAAACCAACCGTAACTTTATGCATATACAGACTTCTTAGCATCAAGACATGCAAGGATGGTTTGCAAAATCACAAGATCAATTTCAGTTACCCTAAAATAGTTCTTAAATAAAAAGAAACTTGGGCTTCCAGAAGCATATACTTCTTCATCCTGTACATGCACCAACAAATAACATCCAAGAGCTAGACTATTTAAGATCAATCTTTGCATAATTCCCATCCCTCACTGTGAAGAACAGCCAAACCTTTCACCTCATACAGTCAGTGGACTGCAACAACTTGTAAGCTTTGATGGATTAACTAATACCCTCATACAGGTGCAATTTGCTGGGCTCTGCCTACACCTTGTATCAGCAGAGCGGAGATAGAAGACAAGATACGAAGATGAAGTAGTTGTCAGATCCCATCTCAACAACTACGTATCAAAGAACAGCACGGCCAAATACCATCACTTCTTAGCACTAACAATCAAGCTACATGTGTGCCTCAATGCTATGAGATTATCATATAACCAGAGTAAGGAAATTCCTTGGAGGGAGTGAGGCTAGACACATTATTAGGACAAGAATGCTAGGCATGCAAAATAAATCAAACGAAAGCATCTGTGAAAGCTAGGCATAACAGCAGATGAAAATTGATGAGGAAAGTATGTGCGGCAAAAACCAATGCCTGTACCAATTAGGAGAGAACAATGCCAGCACTACAAGGGCCAAAGGGGCAGCTATACATAATGAGGAAGAAACACTAGGAAACAAACATGACAACCTAGGATTTAACAAAAGTATAACTGAAACAGGCGCAGGACAAAACACTGAAGCATTTGGGATGCAAAACCTTCACATACAAGTTTAGATAAAGTTTGCAAGGTTTCTGATTTATTAACGCATATTTTAAGTACCAAGTATTGGAAAGATTATCCTCTGTATCAGTACATTAAAAATAATTTCAGGGATACAGTGGTACCTTGATCCGCTCATACTCTCTGATTGCCACATTTTTAGCATCCTCAGTGATTCTTATGGTTTCATTTAACTCCTCTAGCTTGCGAATCCTTGATTTGTCGCCACCAAATATTTTATTTGATTGAACTTCAAGTTTTTCAGCTCTTGATTGCAGCATATCCAGTTCTGATAGTAGAGTCTGCACTGTTAATAAAGCACTTGACCGATCCGAGAACGCACTGTTGACAGCTAACATAAGCCCAAGATATTCATGGAATGTGTCCTGCAATACAAATTGTATGAAAATCATTATTACAATTGTTGGGTTTCCTTCTAAAGTAACATTGAAAATCAGTTGAAGAGAATACGAACTGAAGAGAATATGCTATATATACACACATTAATAACCAAATTAACCTTATAGTTGGAAACATAATGAATAACAAAAAGGGCTGCAAAATTACCAAATGTTTGACAGTCTGAGCATTTAACTCTCGATAGAATCTGCTAGCTTTGACTGCAGCAGTTGCCACATTCTTCATGTCAGCTGCTCGCACTCTTTGAGAGTTGAACAAGGCCTCCTCATTCTCAAACTTGGTCAGTTTTATAAACGCCAGTCCTAACTCTCCCATTGTCTCTCCCATGTCTTGTTGGGCTTTCACAAGTGATTCAGCCTATTAAGTTATAACAAAAACATGAGTATTCAATCCAAGCAAACTAATCACTCAAAAAACTCGCAATACATTCAATTTCAGTATCCATTACCTGCTGAGACGCATTGCTGAGCTGTTGCTCCAGCTCCTGCATCTTCTCTTTCTTCTCCAAAAACTCCTTGTCCTCCTCCCCCACCAGCGGCTTCGAAGCTCCCCAATCATTAGACATAGACTGCTTCAACTCCTTGAACAACCTCAACAAATCCCTCCCGCCCTTCGCCGGCTGAACCACCTCTTGTGGCGCCAGTACCGCCCCGCTGTCCCCGAACAACTGCTTTGGAAGCTTCACTGCCCCATCAAGCATTCTCGACGCCACATCAGTGGTCAACGGCAGCGGAAGCCTCCCCTGAACCTGCAAAAAGACCTTCAATTCGTCGCTTCTCTTGATCACTGGGTGCGAAGCCAATCGCCTCAAGTACTTTTCCAATGCCACTCTTCTCTGCTCCACAAACTCCTGTTTCTGCATCACCTGACTCTCCACCACGCTCTTGTCCGGCCTCGGCGGTATAAAGAACCCTCTGTACGACTCGGCCAACCGGTCCGATAACGTCACCACGTCCCGAAACCGTCGTCGGACTCCGAATTCCGATCCACCAAAATCCGGAATGTTCGTCCGAGTCGTGATCAGGTACGTGATATAGGTGTTACCTCCCGGAACGATCGAATTCGTGGTCTCCTGCTCTTTCTGAGGATTCGAGACCGTGATTTTAATGTACTCGGAGGTGGAAGACGGAGATCGCGAGAGAGAGTACGAGCTCGAATTGTCGGAGCTCTTGCTGGGGCTCTCGATGCCGTTGATTTCGGCGATGGTGTCGGCATCGAAGGGACTGAATATCACGTCGGCGTAAGCAGGCGGGTCGAGGTATGTGGAGTTATCGGGGGCGGAGTTAGGGTTTCGGAGATCGGGGTACGGTAAGGGCGATATTAGGGGATCGGCGTCGGCTGGGGCGGCGGCGGTGGTGGCGGAGACGAGCGGGGACGACGACGAGAGAGGGTGGTGCGTATCGGAGAGCGACGACATGGTGCTGCGATAACTCGAGTACGATTTATTGCCGTTCAAAGGCTCGTCGAGCACGAGATTTTCCATTTCTTCCTTGGACGCGTAGAGCTGGGCTTCTTCGATGCCCTGTTTTTCAGAGCCCATCATCTCCTCCACCAAAATGAAATCAATAAAGAAGAAGGAAAAAGAAGGAGCAGGAGCAAAGCAAGCAATTCCAATTAATCTAAAAACTGAAGCAAAGCTTGATTTGAGGTGGTGAGGGGCATTTTAGGGTTTTGAGGGGTCAGGGAGACATGCAGAAATGTGACTGCTGTGGCAGAGGTGGGTTGGAGAAGACGATCGATCGGATCGGACTGAGCAAGCGGAAGAGGGTGGAAGACAGAGAGGGTCACATGGATTTTTGGGTGGGCTGAGAAACGATAAAACTGTGAGAGAAAACGACGGGTTTAGTACGCTGGATCTTCGGGCTCACGACGGGATATTTTTGCCATTGGAGTTTGGAGTATTGTACTTGGTTTTACTTGGATTGGTACTTCCCGCATTTCGAACTTGGTTGACATGATGACAAGTATTGGATACGCTAAGTTCCACGAGTATGTTTGGTTTTATGATAATTCACTCAATAGCGTTCGAGTATACATGAGTATGTTCCAAGGATATAAATTTAGGGCAATGATTTCCCCACTCCTATTTTATCCACTTACACTCCTTTTTTAGTTATAAAAAAGGAGTGTAAGTGGATAAAATAGGAGAAAAAGGAGTGGGGAAATCACCACTCTAAATTTATTAACTTTCATAATCTGATTCTACACTTGTAACTAATGTTATTATCATATTTAATATCCTCAAATGAGCACTAACAGTCAATTATTCCATCAAATAGGTGAGGTATATGTCTAGCTTTTCCAGACTTGCGGTTTTTTGTTGGAATTTCTTAAGTAATGTATAGACACGTGTTGATTATATTAGTACTGATCCTTGTGACTGATGATCTTTAGGCCTACATTTATAAATGCAATCTATAATATTTTTCTCTAACAAAAGAAGCCATAATGTCAAAGACGACTCAATTATACGACATGAAAGAGTCATTTACTTTATTCATTTCAAATGTTAGATAAATGATAATAATCATTTATTCTAGTATAATCTGTCTCCACTTTATTGGAAGAGTCATTGAAGGAATCAATTGCATAGTATTACAACATTCTATTACAAGTAACATTATCTGTATTGATCTATATTATACATTAAGTCCCCCCTTTTATTAAAATATATTATATATAAGAATTATTTGAGGATGCGTGACTCAATTGGAATATCCACAATACATTTTTATCAACCCAAACGTCCAACGGAGTCTTTGTAAACCTGTACTCGGATGAGGTGCAGGGTCCGGATCACTTTCTAATCGGAGATTTGATTAACACCGCATCCAAACACTCAGATTAGGTTTTCTTTTTTCCACTTCTTTACTTCAGTTGCTTCTTCCTCATTATCGTGGCTTTCCGAAGCTTCAAGTAGCGCAAGTGATCTCGAACCAAACTAACAGAAACTCGACACACTTCTGTAATCGACGAGCCTCGCTAACCCTTAAAAACCAGACCTCTCAAATGGCGTCCAAGTTCGGGTTGGCTGGTGGAATTCCGGAGCGGCGGGTCCGACCCATTTGGGACGCCATCGATTCTCGCCAATTCAAGAACGCTCTCAAGCACGTCTCCACGCTCCTCTCCAAGCATCCCAATTCACCCTACTGTCTGGTAAATGCCTTAATCCGCCGTCGTTTTGCCTTTTGCTCTGCCATAAACCGCTGACTTAGTTGGCGTGTTCTGTTCTTTCGCTTTTAAATGTTTCCTAGGCGCTTAAAGCTCTCATCTTGGAAAGGATGGGGAAATCCGACGAAGCATTTGCTGTTTGCCTCAATGCCAAGGAGCTTCTGCACTCAAACGACTCCGTTTTGATGGACGATCTCACTCTAAGCACATTGCAAATCGTTTTCCAACGGCTCGATCATTGTCAGTATATACATATATATAAATCTTTGTAGCGTCTTGTAGCAAGAACAGAACGCACACATTGCCAAATGCCTTATTGTTTTCTTTGTAACCAGTGGACATGGCTACGAGCTGTTACGAATATGCTTGCGGGAGATTTGCCAACAATTTGGAGCTCATGATGGGGCTTTTCAACTGCTATGTTCGTGAATACTCATTCGTAAAACAGCAACAGGTTGCTTTGTCTATTCTTTTATGCGAAATCTGTGTCTCCGTGCCTATTGTTTTTGTATGATTTGATGGTATATATATTTTTATTTTATTGTATCTATGGCAGACAGCTATAAAAATGTACAAACTTGTTGGAGAGGAAAGGTTCTTGCTATGGGCAGTGTGTAGCATCCAGTTACAGGTAACACCGGCTTTCTTTGCGCCCTTATTTTTGTGTATTGGAGAAAGAATTCTCACGGGACAAATCTTTCAAACAAGGGCCATAATTTGGTTTGTTCCCTTTAAGACTACGGCCATTTTCTACTGGAATTCTCATCATGTGTGCTTCGTGTTGATTCTTGTTTGAACAAATGGGAGAACAATAAGGGAAAAACATGTTATACACTTGCTGATATTACATGGCTTCAAATTCTGTTAGGTCTTTTGTGGTAATGGTGGAGAGAAGCTTTTAGTCTTAGCTGAAGGTTTAATTAAGAAGCATGTTGCCTCCCATAGCTTGCATGAGCCTGAAGGTATACATTGTTGTGTTTTTTTGGCTTTTTTCTCACTATTTATCATTGCCTATCTCGAATATAAATTTTCTTTCATTGGACGCTGTTTATTTCTGCACTAAAAGCTTGTAATTTGCTTCAGCTCTTATGGTCTATGTTTCCATATTGGAACAACAAGCCAAATATGGGGATGCTTTGGAAATTCTTTCTGGAAAATTAGGGTCACTTCTGATGGTTGAAGTTGATAAGCTACGAATACAGGTACTTTCTAACGCTTTCATTTCTTAATGCTGGACATTAATGATTATCTATTTCTCAAATTTGAATCTAACTGTCTATGGAGTATGTATCTACAAATGTTTCCACATGCCCTTGCCCTTTTTTTTAAAAAGAAAATTTCATTTAGGAAAAGAATTGTAATGAGATTTAAAAAAAAAACATGTTTATGTGCCAAAAAAAACACATACAAATGTATAAAACTCAATTTGAGTGATAACTTGTACTGGAAGAGGGCTTTCAGAAGCATGCTGTTCGTTTGATGCAATAAGTATTAGTCGTATTATTGTTTGCTAATGTTGAAACTGCTATCGAAACATATATATTTTATTTCCTTATTCTTTGTTTATTTTCAATGAAGAGTTCTATAGGAAACGAGTTTTATGCAGAAAATTTTCATATTTCAGTTACTAGAGTGACACTTTTGTCATAGAAAAGTACGTTGAACTTGCATAGAATTAGCATGAATTTAAAATAATTCAATGCTTGTGAAAATTGGAATGCCTTACAGGTTTAGCTTTTGATAAGATTTAGCTAGTTTAATGAGGTGATGAATAGCTGAATTATTAGTTTACTGTAAAGAAATAACTCCTTCAAATACAAAAGAAGCCTACATTATAGCTTTTAGAAGTTTTGATAGTCTTACTTTCCCATGATGTTGTGTCCCACGATACACCTATGAGTCACTGTATAGGATTGCATATAACCCATTTACTCTGTTTGAGATTCTTTTGTCGGTCAAAACTTTTAAATCTTGTAGCTACTAGCTGGAATGGATCTTTCACTTGTTTGCTTTTCTTACCAACTTGTCCACTTTGACTTTAAGTTGACAGGGGAGGCTTATTGCTCGGGCAGGTGACTACGCTGCTGCTGCCATCATATTTCAAAAGATCCTAGAATTATGGTATGATTGTGGAATCTTTTTTGCATGCCTTCATATGTTGCCTATGTGATTATCCAGGGCTTTGATATGATGTTTTTCTCTTTCTGGTCACTTTATTTTCATTTACTGATTTTGAACTTTAATATTGTTTCTTTCATCTGGCAGTCCTGATGATTGGGAGTGTTTCCTACATTACTTAGGCTGTTTGCTGGAGGATGACAGCAATTGGTGTAATAGGGACAACATTAATCCAATTCATCCTCCGAAATTTGTTGAGTGCAAGATTTCAAGCTTGGCAGACGAAATGGTACAAATTATGCTTCTTTTTGTGTTTTGTTTTTTTGGTTTTTGTGTTGGATCTGCTAATAAACAGTTAAATGGCACTGGTGCATGTTTACCTCTGTGTTTTCGTTGTCTGATATGCATATTTCTAGCGGAACTTTGCTGCAATCTTTTGTACAGAATTTGATTATTGCAAATTGAAATGCAGTTTGATTCTCGTATGTCAAATGCATCGGAATTTGTACTAAAGTTACTAGAAAACATTGGCGATAACTTTGTAAGGTGTCCATACTTGGCAAATATTGAAATTGAAAGGAGGAGGCACTTACATGGCAAGGGGGACGATGATAAGTTTTTAGATGCTCTAATCCAATACTTTGTCAGGTATATTACAGCTTTCCTATATTCTCCATAGTTTTCACTTGGAATTGCCCAACTTACTTATATGCTTTCCTTGTGTTGTTCATTGTGGCCGTTAGAATGGTCAAGTTGATGCACTTTACACAAATCATTAACTTAATTATATGATTTATAATACTGCAGTCATTTTGTTTTCAAAACTAGGCTGGTTTATCGTGATATGTACTTTTGCTTATTGTAACAATTTGTTCGTCTATTTTAGAAAATCATGCACATACACTGCTGATTCATTTTTGCCATTTGATTTATTTCCAACACAGGTTTGGTCACTTGGCCTGCTTCACTTCTGATGTTGAGATGTTTCTTGAAGTCTTAACCCCTGATAAGAAGGCAGAACTCCTGGGGAAGTTAAAGGAAAGCTCTGGCTCCCTTTCAACTGAGCCAACAAAAGTGCTTGGGCAGTCAATAACACTCTTTAAAATTCAAGAATTGATTGGAAACATGTTCAAGCTTCCTGTGGGTGGTGTGTCGCTTGATTTTGCATCTGTTGTATTTCTTCAACTGCACCTTATGGCATTTGCTTAGAAAATACCTCTAATATATGGAAGGGGTGGATTATTCCTCTAACTTGATTTTCTTGGAGTCGTCTCCTCTGAGGGTTCTTTTTCCCAAAATTTCATATCGCACATAATTGTGGGTGCACAGATTGCAGATTATATGACATGGTGTTGTAGGCACATTAAATGGTGTCTTATTTTTGCGAGAGCTGTGCAAGAGAGAATTGTTGTCAGAGACGTCTCTAATGGATTTGCTTTAATCTGTTAAGGTTAGAAGAGATGCAGCAGATAGGATGGATGGTTGATGAATTGTAGTTGTAAGTTTGACGTTAAATCTTAATGTCTACTCTTAGAGGAGGGCAGGGTGTAGGCTTTCCATGGGGTCCGTTTGGCGTTGTAAAGCCCTTTACAAGCGGATGTTTGTTGTGGGATGCCTTTTTTTTTGGGAAGATTTGAACAACTCATAATCTTCAGAGGCACTAAGAATATCATAATTATTTTGGATTGGCGTTGTTTGTCTAAAGGCAGTGATGAAACAGTAGATCATCTCTGCTTGCACTGTTCTGTTAGCGAGTCCCAATTTTTGTTTTTCAATTGTTTGTTGATGCCCAAGTCAGTTGTGGCTCTTCTTGGCTGTTGGCTGGGTGGTTTTGGTGGGCATCATAATATTGCAATGCTGGGAAGTATTTGTGGAGGGAGAGGAATGGAATGGCCTTTTCAGGATTATGAGAGTCATATTCTCCGTTCAAGTCCATTTTGGTTTCATACTCTAGTCGATGCCAGTTTCGCTGTTTCTTGGTCTTCCATTGAGGACTTTCTGGTCTCTGTAGATTTTATCTCCTAATTTTTCTTTAAGTGATTTTTTCCTTAGCATAAGAGAAAGACTAATGCCTTTGATATATGGCAACTTACAGATGCCGAATAGGGTAACTAGGTGACACATAATAACTCCTAGTCATGAACGTTGATAAACCTGGTTGCTGGTGTTGAGTTTTCATTTTGGTGTCCTATTTTGTCAATTCTATTTCATGTTCAATATTTTTCAATTGAATTTTCATTTCCCTTGGTAATTTCTTAATTTTGTCTTCAGTTTGGTATACTCGACTGATTGTTTTAACTTTGTGTTCGACAATAAGAATTCTGTTATTGAGTTATCCATTTGAGTCATAGAGTATTAACTTTAGCCATTCTTCCTCAGAACTTGAGGGATCTGCTGTGCAGATGGTGGAGATGTATTGCAAAAACCTTCCACTTTCGAAGGACTTGGATTCACAAGAGAGCATGCATGGGGAGGAGCTGCTGTCAATGGCATGCAATGTGTTGATTCAGGTATATAATGTACAAGCTTATTCTTTTGTGTTGAGTGTGCATTTTTTCCTGACTTTGTTGAACTAAAACCAATTTTGAGGGTGTACATGTTTACTTCCCAATTCATAGATATATTTTAATTGAGGTTGGTCTGACTATTATTGGTTTTTGGTATAGTTATTCTGGCGTACTAAGAATTTCGGTTACTTTGTTGAGGCAATTATGGTGTTGGAGTTTGGCGTGACCATTCGAAGGTGAGGACTTTTGTCGTTGTTATTTTTATTAGCATTAAACTCTATGTTACAGTCCATTGCATTAAGTATATTATGTTATCTTTTTTCCTTCTCCTATAACATAGAACATCCTCATCACTATGGTAGCAATATGTATGGCTACAAAGCCTCCAATTTCCAGTTGAACAAATGGAGCCTTAGTGCAATTTTATTTGCTTCATGGTTTCATGTGCATAACTAATAATGATACTTTGCTATAGAACTTCTTCCGTGTTAATGGAATTGTGCATGGTTTTGTATTCATAGATAAACTTTTAGGTGATTGGTCCATTAGGAAATAATTTGTTAGTGTTTTAGATATTTTTTAATTTTTGAGCTCCATTGTATTAAAATTTTAGCTTTCAGTCTGATCTCTATATTTATTATTTTAAGGAATCTTTATATATTTGTTTGTATAACATTTTTTTAATCTGGTTTGTTTGGCAGATATGTATGGCAGTACAAGATCTTGTTGCTGCACTTGTATTCTCACTTAGGTGCCCTTTCAATAGCATATGAATGGTAAATAATTATTAATTTATCCTTAGAATTTATTAGTGGCCATGACTGGGCTTTATTTTTTATGTTGTATTTACTACATTTTAGTCTATGCCTTACTCCTTTTTTCTTTCCCTGTTTAGGTTTAAATCACTGGATGTGAAAAATATCTTGATGGAAACTGTTTCACACCATATTTTACCCCAGATGTTGATGTCTCCTCTTTGGACGGATCTAAATAATCTGCTAAAGGATTATCTCAAGTTTATGGATGACCACTTAAGAGAATCTGCAGACCTTACATTTCTTGCCTATCGGCATAGAAATTACTCAAAAGTACACAACATATTTTTCAGCATGCATATCTTCATTTCATACCTGCTCCTTGTTCTTAATATCACAACTTACATGACTCCAGGTTGCAATGTTTTTTAAATAAGACTCCAGGTTGTATTTGAAGTTGAGTTTATGTGTATTCTTTAAATATCTACATCATGACTTAATATGCTTTACCAATCTATATATATATATGCTGGACAATGTATAAGATTAACCGTGCATATTTTCCTTTGTTGATTTCTTACCTTCTCGAAGTTTTGGAGGAAACTCTCCCTCTCTCTCTCTCTTGACATTTTCTTTCCGTATTGATAATCAAGTCCCTACTTAAAAATGTGGTCACTAAAACTCAGCTCCATCTTTTATGCAATTGCATAAGATTTCAGGCATTTTAAGTGTCTTGCATATTCAAAGGGAGGGGAGTGATGGTCTTGGTACCTTGTATTTAATATTGAGACTAAAATTTTGATTCTCAAAACCAAGGGTAATATATTTTTTTTCCAGGTAATTGAATTTGTCCAGTTTAAAGAACGGTTGCAACACTCTAATCAGTATCTAATGGCGAGGGTTGAAGCACCCATTCTACTGTTAAAGCAGAATGCAGATAACATTGAAGATGAAGAGGTAATGTATGTTGGCAACTTTTGCATGGAGTGCCTGTGCTTCGTTATGATAGATAACAGGTTTATGTTATTTTGTTTCTTTTAGACTGTTCTTGAAAGCTTGAAATGCGGAAGTCACTTTGTTGAACTCTCTAATGAGATTGGATCCAAATCTTTGACATTCAATGAAGATTTGCAGTCCCGTCCATGGTGGGCGCCAACATCAGAAAGAAACTATCTTTTAGGTTAGTATTGCATGCAGTTTATCTTATAAGAACAAAGTTTAGGATTCTTCCTTGTAGAAGTGTGTGTTTGTTGGTCTATGCCTAATCAACATCCGAGTAATTATTGTTTCCCCAATCATAAATTCTCATGTCAGATACTTGTTCAACCTATATGAAGAGTGGAGGAAGTGTGTGTTTGTTGATCTATGCCTAATCAAGATCCGAGTAATTATGGTTTCCCCAATCTTAAATTCTCATGTCAGATACTTGTTCAACCTATATGAAGAGTAGAGCATTATATTCTATCTGATTGAAATTCTTGTACTTTAATTTATGTTATTGTGTTCTTGTTTTCTCCTCTTATGATAGTTTCTAGAACTAAGTTAAAAATTTATCTATGGTCTCAGGCCCTTTTGAAGGAATATCTTATTGTCCAGGAGAGAACACGGTATGAAATTCTGTCTTGTATGATTGTAATATGCATATTATATTTGGTGAACTTGGTTCCATAAAGTTACTCTATATTAATAACACTACTTATCTAATTTTGTAATTGCCTCATGTAATTTAAAATTGTATTTTGCTGGTTTCAAATTTAGATGAAAGAAAGGGAAGCAAATGTACGGAGGGTTATTGAAAGGAAATCTCTTCTTCCTCGGATGATTTATCTGTCCATACAAAGCGCTTCAGCTTCACTCAAGGAAAATCTCGAGGTGAATGGAACAAGATCTGACCCTAAAGTCCCCTCAGAACTGAAGCTTTTGCTTGAGTGCTATGCAAAAATGTTGGGATTCTCATTAAGCGATGCAATAGAAGTGGTTTTTGGGGTCTCAAGTGGCCTAAAGTCTTTTGAGGTAGTATTGCAGCACCACTTTTATTCTATGCTAATTTTGGGCATCATTCTCTTCTTCATATGAGCCTTCACAAGCCTTGTTTGATACGCCACACTGTGGTTCATGAAGACAAAACAATTGCTTTCAGTACTTGTCTTAATTTGTATGAAGTAGTGAACAAACTCATACTTGTGTGGGTACTGGAGCTGTTTCTTAACCTGTACGACTGTGAATGAATCGATTCAGTTCTATCTAGGACTATAATTCTTATTTTTATTTTTATAAATGTAAAACTTGCACATAGTATTGTAAATGCCTTATTCTACCTTAGAGTTTGGAAGAACTGAAGTTGTAATCAAAAGATTTACTCTAAAAGAAATCTTTTAAGTTCAAAAGCTGACCCATTAATCGACTCAAGTATCAGACAACTTGGATTATGTTAATGTAAAATCAACTTTTGTTGCAGGTCTTTGGTTTGGACTTGATTGACTGGATAAATTTTTCTGTGTTTCTGAATGCATGGAACTTGAGTTCCCATGAAATTGGGATGGCAAATGGAGAGGGAGATCTGTCTCAAGCATGGCGCTGTGTGGATTCTCTGCTGGAGAAGTATGTTTCGGCGAAAGTTAGCTCCATGGAGACTCTAATTAGCTCTCCTTGTGTTGATCTCCCAGTTTTGGTGCAGTTGATTACAGAACCCTTGGCCTGGCATGGTCTTGTAATTCAATCTTGCTTTCGGTCATGGCTTCCAGCTGGAAAGAAGAAGAAGAAGACTGGTGTTGCAGATCAGTCCAGTCTGTCTCATTTACGTGATTCAGTCCAGTCTCTATGTGATTCTGTGGAAAAAGTTATGAAATGGTTAAGAGAACAGATCAACAGGCCAGAGGATGAAAATTTGGAGACTTTACTTTCTGCTTTGCAGAAGAAAGGACAGAATGAGGGCCCTGGGCAGGTATTCCAGATAATAGAAACTTTTATGTCATCCAAAGATGATACAGAGCTTGGTGATAGAATTTCCCAAGCATTAAAGTCTTGGAGTTCTGTTGATGTCGGACGGAAGATAGTAACTGGGAAGTGTACAGTATTGTCTGAGTTTCTTCGGATTTGTGAATCAAAATTAAAGTTGTTGCAGGCATTGAAACATCAGATAGCTCAAGTCTGAAGAATGATCATGAAGTGATTTTGAAGTTTCATGTGCTGGTTCAACCTTGGGCCCTGTCCGATTTTGTTGTGATTCAGCATGGCCAGAGACTGAAGGAGATTGAAGTTTATTTTGTTAGTAATTTTTTTTTTTCCTGTCTCCCATTATCTGGGGATTTTTCCTTTGCCATTTTGGGCAGACGTTGGTGGTTGTGGTTGAATGCTGGTCTGTTAGCAGTTTTGCTGTAATTTTTTTGTTGGGCAATTGTAGTTTTTCTTTTCTTGTTCCTCAATATGTTGTGAGAGAGTTGCACAGGCTTGTAACTTTGTATTTTTAGGCATAAATTTTTTGACAATGTATCATCCCATTTTTGTGGCTAATTCAATTTTGCATTGTCTGATATTTTATCTTTTATCAAGTCAAAATTTGAATGTGAAATGTAGTTGAGCAGAGTAGAGTTCTTGGGTTCTCAGGGAAAATTTGTGGTCAGCCATCGTTAGATCTTACCTATAAAGTTATTCAATGATTTTAGGGTTAAATAATTTTTCGGTCACTAGGTATTCTAGGGCTCTTTTGGGTGTGCTTATTTTTGAAGTGCTTATGCCAGTAGCTCTTATGACCTAAGCGCTCCTACAAAGAAGCAGTTTATCGTTTAGATGTCACATTTATAAGTGTTTTTACACTACATAAAGACGCTTTTGATATTTTGTTGAATGTTTGGCTGACACAGTGAAAGGTATGAACTTCACCAAGTATAATTTTTAATCATTTTTTGAAAATAAAAAACGAATTAACCACACATAAGAAGATAGGAAGGGAAATCGTGTTTCAGAAAGGCTAGGTGAAAAGATTATAGAAGATGATGCTGATGAATTGCATTTCATTGAGTTTGAAAAGTCTGAATTATCTAGTTAGTGGATATCTTTTTGGGTAGAAGGCATTGTCTGGTGAGTAAGAAGAAAGTCTCCATTTTGGTGATGATGTGGTTAATTTGGGGTTATTAGGCCATCTCCAACCCTTGGACTCAAACCCAAAATATCCCCCCAAACCTTTCCCAACTCAAGAAAATTTGGACCCAAATATGGGTCCAAGTATTGCCCAGACCCAAATTTTTTCGTGGAGTCCACTTTCATGTCAAACAGCCCCCATGTGCAAAGATTCCTCCATGGCCCCCCACCTTTTTTTTTTTGCTGCTGCCATCTTGTCTTCCATAAGCGCCACTTGTCAAAGCCCCATTGAGTTGCCGTTGGAATTGAAATTATTTGCTGTTTGTTTTATATATATATACACATATTGTCACATCCAGGGATCGGCTCTGCCGTAGCACGATATTGTCCGCTTTGAGCCCCCCTCTCTGCCCTCACGGTTTTGTTTCTGAGAATTCACAAGCAACTTCCCAGTAGGTCACCCATCCTGAGATTGCTTTAGCCCCCAACTCGCTTAACTTCGGAGTTTCCACGACTCCGAAGCCAGTGAGCTCCCAAAAGGCCTCGTGCAAGATAGAGGTAGACATGTACATATAAGGCACATCTCCCCATCTCCGTTGGTCGATGTGGGATGTTACAATCCACCTCCCTTAGGAGCCCGATGTCCTCGTCGGCACACTCGCACCACACAGCATAGTGGCTCTGATACCAAATTGTCACATCCCGGGATTGGCTCTGCCATAGCACGATATTGTCCGCTTTGGGCCCTCCTCTTTGCCCTCACGGTTTTATTTCTGGGAACTCACAAGCAACTTCCCAGTGGGTCACCCATTCTGAGATTGCTCTAGCCCCCAACTAGCTTAACTTCTGAGTTCCCACGACTCCGAAGCCAGTAAGCTCCCAAAAGGCCTCGTGCAAGATGGAGGTGGGCATGTAAATATAAGACACATCACCCCATCTCCGTTGGTCGATGTGGGATGTTACAAAATAAATATAGGTATTTTCGGTATTTTAAAAGTTTCATCAAAGGGAACCAAGTGCTTCTCGTGTTTTTGTCCTACAACACTTTTAAGAAAAAGCACCTCTCAAGTGCTTCTTCCAAAACTAGGAATGGCACAGGTTGGGTAGGGGCAGAGTATGACAATATCATCCCCGTCTCCGATCTCTATCCCCGCCTCCGTCCCCTAACCCATCCCCTTTTAATAGATTTCGGGGAATTCCCGTCCCCATCCCCGTCGGGGGACTATCCCCCATACCCGCCCCAAATCTCTGAATTTTTTTTTTTTTGCATAAAAAATTATTTATCATGCATTTTAACATTAAGTTTCAAATTAAATTATCATTCAACACATCCAAATTAACTATAAAGTTCAACTCAAATATTCAAAATCACATCAATATGAAATTCTGGAGAAAATTAAGAAGAATTAGGAGAGGGAGGTTAACTTAGGGTTAAACATAAATATTGTAATTATTTATTTATTTATTTAAATATAAACATATATATTTTCAGGTTGAGTTCGGGGATGGGGACTCCAATACCATCTCATCCCCATACCTATCATGAATTTTTCAAGTTCGGGGATCACCGTACCCGATATTTGTTTCACCTTGAAATCTCCCCCTGCTAGGGTCTGGGACTCGACAGGGAGCCGTCCCCACGGGGATTTTTTCCATCCCTATCCAAAACCACTCTAAGTGCTTTTGGATCTCACCCAAAGCGCTATTGCAATTTTTGCCAAACACCATTTTTAAAAGACCGAAGCACTTTCACTCATTTAGAAGCGTTTTTCGCTGCTCCAAAAGCACTTTCAAACTAGCTCTCATGTCATAATCCAAGTTTCAAGGTTAGGAATCATAACTGTCTGACATGATTTCATTACCCAGAAGTCAGTTGGCAGGCTACCTAATTGGCTTTAAGAACCCATTGATCCTCAGCTTACGATGGAAAATACCCAATCGTAGACCCGTCAAACCTGCTTCATTTCAAATATTAAATAAATGCAGAAGATAAACTGCCCATCATGCTAATTAGTGCCTTGATTGATGTTTAAACAATACTAAACATATTGACAAACCAACAAGTAATTTTCAGCTTGATGAGTCTGTTCACAGGTGTGATGATCTACTTCACTTACTGGTTAACTAACGGTTTTCAATTTTAATACATAATTTCAGAAAGACTAGGGTTTGGATTGGGGGTTGAGATTCTCAGTGAAGATGGTGAAGCTGATGAGTGTATTGTACTGGGAGGGAACAACCTTGTCATGTCCATGACCTTCGGTGGATGTTTGTTGTGTCATTTTATTTTATAACGGAAAAGTAGTCAAATAAAGCAGAAATATATATTCCTTTTCCTTGTTCTACCAACCAAACCAAAATTCAACCCCCCCTCTAACTGTCCTATATGTAATTTATAGGTTTTCAAAAATGTAAGAAAAAATAGCCCAAGATATGAGGGAATGACTCAATTTAGAAAGTGAACATCAAACCCTTAAAAATGGCTTGGTCCACAAGGCACGATAGATGATGAACAAATGGCTTGGTCCACTCACACTTCTTTTACTTGCCATAAAGGGAAAATGTTATGTTATCCGACAATCTCGTATATTATATTATTGCTATCAATTTAAGTGTATAGTCTAAATTGAGAGTTTGATAATATAATATATTATGAGTGAGTGTCGATAGAGAGCAACATCCTAATCATAGATTGCTCATATCAAGTAAAGCAGAACTCAAGGCACTAGAATTCTAATGACCCTTTGAAAAGTCACAATTTTAGATGTAAAAGAAGTGTGAGTATTAGTTGCCTCTCACATGGTACTCGGGCATATAATCTCCATTTGTTTAACAGTGAGATTAGAGGGGGTATAGTGGGTGCACCAAATCCCCTTTATGGTTAGACTAATATGTCTCAAAATCCTAAGTGTCCCTGTTGACCCGAAACCAAATTTACATGGACAACGTCTCCAAAATAAAAGAATAAAAGAAATCACTACTGTTTTTCCCTTTCCCGCTTAATCCAGAAATATATAAATAGGTGCTCTCTTATGACCATCTCACTCACACAAACTTCCACAAGTTCCATTCAACAAGGAGCTGAGAGAGCAATGAAGACTTCCAACTTGACTCTCAAGCGATTGTGCTCTTGCCTCCTCCTTGGCCTTCTTGCCTTCCTAGCTTTCTTCGCTTCTTTCTCAGCTGCAGAAACTCACTACCATGAATTTGTTGTATGTTTTTTTTTTCATTCACCATGCACTTCTTTTTATTGTAAGAGAGTAAAATGGACTTGGTTCAAAATTGTAAGCATTTTTCTTTAACTTTTTTTGTGTGGAATGAAATAGGTTCAAGCAAAGCCAGTGAGGAGGCTGTGCAGAACCCACAACACTATCACAGTCAATGGTCAGTTCCCAGGACCAAATTTGGAAGTCAGAAACGGAGATTCTCTTGTCATCAAAGTTACAAATGCTGCAAGATACAATGTCACCATCCACTGGTATTCATCATATACATAAACAATTTTGAGTCTTAAAAATTTGTTGTAAATTATTGTGAATATTAATGTTTGCAACTAAACAATCATCATCATAGTGCTTATAATTATAATCTTGGTCGCCAACGAGGTCTAGCCCAATAGAAAAGAGCCTTGACTTGCAGACCAGTGGTCTCATGTTCTAACCCCATGGCACCTTGACAGTGTGTGTGAGAAATCCCCCTCCCCTTGTAGTTTATTAGACTATCGCTTGTATTAAAAAGAAAAAAATTTATAATCTTGTTCCTAATTATTGTTCATGTATCCTTCAGGCATGGACTGAGGCAGCTAAGAAATCCATGGGCAGATGGACCTGAATACATCACACAGTGCCCAATTCAGCCAGGAGCCACTTACACATACCGCTTCACAATCCAAGACCAAGAAGGCACTTTGTGGTGGCATGCTCACAGCAGATGGCTTCGAGCCACTGTTTATGGAGCCCTCATAATCTACCCTAAATTGGGTTCTCCATACCCTTTCTCAATGCCCAAGAGAGAAGTTCCCTTGCTTCTTGGTAAAAACAGAGAAGAACACTTTCATTCACTTGCTGGCCTCTTAAGTTTTCTCCTCAATCATTTGTAGCTTTTTTAACAACTCTTGTATGTATATGCAGGAGAGTGGTTTGATCGAAACCCCCTCGATGTCCAGAAGCTGGCGGCTTTCACAGGAGGAGCACCCAATGCCTCTGATGCATACACCATTAATGGTCAGCCTGGTGATCTTTATAGATGCTCCAAACAAGGTTTGCTATAATGCCTCTGACGTATATTGTGTTCTTCATTTGATTGTGACATCAAGTGTGGTTTGATATAACAATTTGGATAACAATGCAGAAACCGTGAGAATTCCAGTCGACTCAGGCGAGTCGATTCTTCTAAGAATCATCAACTCTGCACTCAATCAAGAACTGTTCTTTAGCATTGCCAACCACAGATTGACTGTTGTGAGTGCTGATGCATCCTACACCAAACCTTTCACAACCAGAGTTCTTATGATGGGACCTGGCCAGACGACAGATGTTCTGCTTACTGCTGATCAGCCCCCTGCTCACTACTACGTGGCGGCACGTGTCTATGAGACTGCCCAGAATGCACCCTTCGACAACACCACCACCACTGCTATCCTTGAATACAAGTCTGCTGCTTGCAGTTCAAAGAAAGGTCAATCTCCACCACCAGCCTTGCCATTACTACCAGCCTTCAACGATACAGCTACCGCGACTGCTTTTACTGCTCAGATAAAGAGCCCTTCCCAGGTCAAAGTCCCTACGCAGATTGATGAGAACCTGTTTTTCATTGTGGGTTTAGGACTGAACAATTGCACAGTTCCTAACAGCCCCCGGTGTCAAGGTCCAAACAACACCCGCTTTGCAGCTAGCATGAACAATGTCTCCTTTGTGTTCCCTAGAACTAACTCCTTAATGCAAGCCTACTACAATGGTGTACCTGGTGTCTTCACCACAGACTTTCCACCTGTTCCTCTTGTGCAATTCGATTATACCGGCAATGTGCCCCGGGGGCTATGGACGCCTAGACGCGGAACCAAGCTCTACAAGTTGAAGTATGGCTCTAATGTTCAGATAGTGTTGCAGGACACCAGTATTGTGACAACTGAGGACCATCCTATGCATCTTCATGGGTACCATTTCTATGTGATTGGATCAGGATTTGGCAACTTCAACCCAAGGACAGATCCAGCCAAATTCAACCTCGTTGACCCACCACAGAGGAATACCATCGGAACACCTCCGGGCGGATGGGTAGCTATTCGATTTGTGGCTGACAATCCAGGTGACATTCTAATTTCATACGATAAAGCTTTCTTCTTTTACGACAAAGTAAAGATTCACTATTTTGATGTTTTCTTTTAATTGTTAATCCAAATAGGTGTCTGGCTGATGCACTGTCACCTAGATTCACATCTCGCCTTGGGCTTGTCAATGGCTTTTCTAGTCGAGAACGGAAAGGGACCGTCGCAGTCTGTGATACCTCCTCCAGCAGATCTACCCCGGTGTTAAGTTATCACCAAAACAACACACTACTAGTTGGATTTCATGATTGCAATTGCAAGATTTGCTTTTATCTTTGCATCCTTAGATTAATATGCATTGGTTAGGTTGAATTTGTCAGGTAGTTTCTATTGTGATTGCTTCTGCAGTAGCAAGTCCAGAGTTGGACAGAGCTACACCAAGCAGCTTATTTTTCATGTTATGATTGGTTTTCAAAATCATGGAAAAGGATATCATATTTGAAACATATTGCGTATCTTCTTCATTCTAGCTTTGGATGATGAGTTGATAGCTCAAAATATGAAGGAACCTCACATGAGATCAATCTAGGTTACATGTAGTGAGATGGTGCTAACTGCCCCAAAGGGATGCAGTCTAAATAAAACTGTTCTGGAGATAAACTAATGCAACTCTTGTGGTAAATTCAACACCTAACATAAGATCATAACCAAGTTGACTTATCTTCCATGGTCATCTAATAACCAAACAATAAAGAAAACCAGGAAAGACCTTGCTAAAAGGGGTAGCCATTTGTCAAAAACCTGCACATGATATGAGGAAGGAAATAGTTTTTGGTAAGGAGATGCAATTTCTTGGCTGCAGGGGAGAAAACTCAATTAACCACAACTGGAAAAACATGGGTTTTCCTTCTTTCTTTTTGGGATCATTTGCTTTAACATAAAATGTTTGGGTAACTGATGGTGCACCTACTTCTCAAGGAAACTAAATCCAAAAAGAATATAGAAACAAAATTACAGTAACAACACATAGCGAATGGTAATAGAGCATATCGTAATGTGCTAGCATCTAATTTCACTAAAATTACAATTTTTTGTTGGTTCAAGCCACTCACCAATCAGGCAACAAATTTCAGACAACGAGTATCATTATGTATATTCTGGCAACGAGACGAACAAAAGCGCACCCCACACCTCACACATGTATAGTTGGCAGCAGAACCACACACAGTGCAGAAGTGGCGGCGTGAGGTAGAGCTTGGAGGTCCCACTGCTGCCTTCAGATAGGAAGGAACATGAGGAGGCAAAGAGTCCAGATTTGCCTGTTTTGGTGGGAAAAATCATGTAAAGAAAGAAATCATAAATGTTATTTAAATTATAAAAAGAATACATGCAGCATTTTCCCTATTACCTCATGTACAAGCTCAAGGAATGTTCTTGGGGCCTTCCTGGCCTCAAGAGCCTTTGCCTGCCGAGTTTTGCGCTTGGTGCCCTTAGCGTGCTTCTTTTGTATATACACTGCAGCAGCAGTTGAAACTGTTATTTGTCTTTCCTTCAGTCCATCGAAAATTGCATAAGAAATTTCATGAATGTGTAGTTTTTAGCTCAAACAAAACTTGACTGGAAACAAAATCCCACTGAGACTACCTACAATTGCCTTTGATAGACCAATTACTGAAATAACTTCGAGAGAGAGAGAGAGAGAGAGGAATCTCTCCCATTGTTGATTCTGATTGTTGCACACAATTTTTATACCCACATTAAACACCACAGCAAATAAGCATCACCCATCAACTAAAATCTTAATGGCCTTCAGTTCTGGATGCAAAAGCAACAGGTCTAAAATCTCATTGCAGAGGAAAAACAGACCAATAAGAAGAGAGAGGGTAAAGAATTCGAGAATTGGACCTTGGTCATCATCATCAAGAGAAGCTTCATCGCCGTCGTTAGCCTCTACCATCTCCAAACCCGCATTATCATTTTCTAAAGCTTCAAGCCGAGCAAGAGCAGCCTAAAACATCAGCCAACATAACCCATCAACTCCAATAAACTTATGCAAAGTCACATAAACAAAAACCAATATCCAAAACAAAAAAACAAAACCTGCGTGCGGTTGTCACTACTCTGAAGAGCAGCAGTCATTCTTGAAGCAACCTTGCGAGTTCGACTCGACATTCGGCGCATTGGGTTGGAAACGTCATCGTCCATTGCTGCAAATTGATGTCAAAGGTGTCTCCTTTCGCAAATTCTGGTGATGAAAAATCGTTACAATGACTTTCAATCAAGAAAGCTTGACCAGCATGAGTAAAACTTTTGTTGGTCAGCTTAATTTGGAACTTAACGAGAATGGTTCAGCTACAATTTCCTCGCCTCGTATGAAATTAACGATTTGGGTACTCGCTCGATTCTCGAAACGTTTCAAACTAAACATAAAAAGGAACGGTATCAGCAAGACTATCGGCGAGAGAAGGGAGGTGGGTTTTGCTGCACAACAATTGAGGACATTGCAGAGAGTGAAGAAGGGGAACCGTGGAAAGGAAGTGAGATTTGGGCTTGGACTTCACTGGAGCTCCAAACAATTTTATAGTTGGGCTTCAAAATCCACCCAAACACTTGTACCAAATACAAAAGAAAACTCACTCAAATTTGATCAGATCACCCATCATCGTTTGGGGATGGTTTTTCCAATTTTGAATCTGTGTTTTTTTTTTTTTTTTTAATACATACAGACTCAAGTTGTCCACATTGTCATTTTATGTACTTGAAACATCATCAAAAATAGGGATGACAATGGGTCGTGTCGTGTTGGGTTCGTATCGTGTCGGGATAATAAATGTGTCAAGAATGCTGAACCCGAACCCAAACCATTTAATAAACGTGTCGTGTCCGGTTCGGGTTGTCTTTTATCATGCGGGTTTCGAGTCGTGTAATGAGTTCATAAATAATAACATGCATGTTACGAAACTCACAACTGAAAAAATTTAAATAAAAAAAAACAGAGAGAGTAGAGAAAATATAAGGAAAAGAAAGAAAAAAAATAGAGAGAGGAGAGGAGAGAAGAGAGAAGGAAAAGAAAGAGAAAAAAAATAGAGGGAGAGAGAGAGAGAGAGAGAGGAGAAAAGATTGAAGGAAAGAAAGAAAGAAAAAAGAGAGATGACAGAAAACTAAAGAGAAGGAAAAGAAAGAAAGAAAAAAAGGAGAGAAGATGAAAGGAAAGGAAAAGAGAGAGAAAAAAAAAAGATGAGAAAGTAGAAAGAACAAAAAAAGAAGAGAAGAGAGATGGAAAAGAAAAAAATATATTATAAATATCAAAAGGCATATCATAAAATCACAAAGTTGTTTGTAGCATGGTGAATAAGATGTTGAGAGAAATGAGGGTGGTATGGGTTTGAAACCCCTTGTGTGTGTGATGAAATCTCCATTTCTCTTCATTTTTTAGCGGGTTAGCGTGTATTACACGGGTTGACACGACCCGTTTAATAAACGGGTTAGACATGTATTATAGCGAGTTAGCGGGTTGACCCAAAACCCACCCGTTTATTAAACGGGTCAGAACGGGTTGACCCGAAATTGATCCTTTTTTTATCGTGCGGTTTGAACCCGCTAATTTCTCGTGCAGGTTTCGAGTCGTGTCCGAAATTGCCACCCCTAATAAAAAATTCAATTAATGCTATGTATGACCCACTAGTGTAGTGATTTGGAGTAATTGCTCTCCAAGAAAAGGTCCGAAGTTCGAGTCCTAGCATCCGTGTAATATGTGTGAGTTTAGTATATTATTGCCTCTCTCAATAGGAAAGGCCTTAAAAAAAACTATACTATGTATAAATATGTCATTTGGATATCTCCAATCTCTCTTTATAAAAAATAAAAAAAAGGACAGGAGCTATGTTTTGAGTTGAAGTAGAATCACTATGTATGTATGTACACAAATTGAGTACAATATTTGTTACAATACACATGGAAGTATACATGTAATTACATGTGAAGTCTACTTATGGACTCCCCTAAGTTCTATTCTACATCAGCTGGTTTGAATGTCCCTATTTCTCTTTTTTCATAGGCCACTTTCAAAGCTTTGATTGAGCTAGCTAGCTATGTGCACCATCTTCTGGTTTATGAGATACCAAACCCTAGTAACCTACACCATGGATTTACCACATCCTTCACCTTCTGAATAGGGTTACATGGAAACCCTCCACTTGACCGACTTGTACTATCTGCCCCTTGCCCTCTCAAAACTTGCTGTTGTACCACTAGCACAGAAGCAGTACCACCAAAATCATAAGAGGAAACAAAGTCCCCAATTATACCCAATTCATCATTTTCACTCCAATTTGATAGTCCTTCTAGAAGAACAGGATTGATCCCCTGTTTTCTCCCAACAATCCAAACATCATAGTTGTTGTTGTCATCACTCACTGCTTGAATGGCTGCTATTGTCTCTTCTCCATTCCTCACCACCACTTCTCTATAACTCACCCTCTCATTCCTCTCATTCTTAACCCAAAACCATGTCACCACCCCATCATCCATTTTCTTCTCCATCTCATCATCACCTTCAGAATTATGCGACAGGAACCGAATCACGGTTAGAGACACATTTAAATTCCCAGCCATTCTATCTGCATAACACAATGCCTCTCTAGCATCTGCCCCTCCCAAAAACAGCACAGCAAAATGTAGCACATTGTTCCTGAATGCCATGTAGGTATGCCTAACATGACCCTTGTCAACAAGAACACCGACTGAGCAAGGTGCATGGTTTAACACATTTGAATTGACAGATCTAACCCCAAGCCTCACAAGTTCTGTCAATTTCCCTCCAAGAGTGTCCAAACACTCCTTGTGAAAAGGCAATATAATAAGTGTAGCCTTCTTGACAAGAGCCAGATCACAAATGTCTTGGTACGTTGTTCTATTTGGCACTATAGCTGTGAAGGGATGGATCTCAATACACTCACCTTTGCTTTCTTGGTAGTTCTTCAAGGCATTGTGAATTGTGTGGCTGACTGCATACTTTGAATCATGATCTTCTTGCTTTTCATGGTCTATCAAGACAGGAGAAGCACGGCCAACAAGGTCGATGAGGCGGAGAGCGAAGATCACAAAAGGAGTGCTTAGAGTGGGGTTTGAGATTTCAAGAAGGTTGATGAGGGCAGCTGTGCTGTCTTCATCATATATGCATAGGAGTATGCGAAGTTCTGAGTCTTCAGGAGGTGTGTGCTGAATGGTTCTTCTTTTGTGGACCTGGTATGGCCTTGTTGGGTCATAGAGGATGCTGATAAAGGGTGTGGCTATTGCAGTCCATGAAGTGATTGCTAGCACCATCAATGTGAATCCAGGAACTTCTATTATCTGTATGTATGTATGTATGTATGTATGTATGTATGTATGTATGTTCATACAAAACAACCAACCAGCAGAAAATGAGTTCAGAATAAACATAAACAAATCATATTGAGCATAAAGAAGATTAAAT